AATGAATATACGACTAAATAATATCGGCACTTAATTGAATGCCGGTATAAATGCACAACATCAATTTATATATTACGTAGCATCTCAAAGATTTTATCAATATTCATCGGTCTGAAATGTTTATGTATTTGAAAACAACGCTGTCTCGCTCCTTCCTAGCTCTGTATAATGAATATACCGTCAAAATAATATCGGCACTTCGAAGATTTTCTCAATATTTATAATTAGGTCTGAAATGATTTATATACATTTGGAAAAAAGTACTATCTAGCTCCTTAATTCTTAGCTCTGTATAATGAATATACCGTCTAAGTAATATCGGTACTTGACCGAATGCCCGTAATGAATAACATCAATTTATATATTGCGTAGACTCTCAAAGATTTACTCAATATTCACATCTGAAATGTGATACATTTGAAAACAACACTGTGTCGCTCCTTCCTAGCATCGCACGTCATCGTAGGTCATCTACGGTTTGATAGCGCATGCGCATTTGCCCTGCTAAAGAAAAAATCGAGTGTTCCGGGGTAAAGATCTTTTACACAACATGAGAAGCGAATGTTATAAAATCTACAAAAAATTACAATAACGACAACCACTCCTCAAAATTTTTGTGAACTTGGCAAAAGGACAAAAGAATATTTAAATAAGACAACTGAAATTGCCTAAATAACCTTCAAAGCACTGACTAAGAACAATAAATCACTACGAACATATATTGTATACACCCCCCGGAAAGTTTACACTATTATGCCTGATCCCTGACTCATATGAATTTTCCCCCACTCATCACAATACTTGTCAAGTTTCGAAGAAACTTGGCACTAAAAACTGACAATGGACCCCCATTTAATGGGAAAGAATTTGAAACATACACTAAAACCCTTGGTATTGAATGAAAAACAATTACACCACTATGGCCCCAGGGTAATGCCGTCGTAGAAAGATTTATGAAACCAGTTGGAAAACTCTTGAAAACAGCTGAAATTGAAGGAAAGAATTGGAAGCAAGAACTGCAAAGGTTTCTACTTCAATACCGTTCAACTCCTCATCAAACTACTAAAGTCGCTCCGTGTGAACTACTTTTTAACAGACAAATTCGGGGATATTTACCAGAACTCACAAGAAAAAAAGTAGTTAATAGACACAAGAGGGCGAAGCAGAACTTGGAGCAGAAGAAAGAAGAGAACAAAGAGTACTACGACCGAAACAAAAGAACAAAGGAAGCTGGGATCAAAAAGGATGACATCGTCATTTGCAAACAGAAGAAGAACAATAAGTTAACATCAAAGTTTGACCCAGAACATTATACGGTAGAACAACGTAAGTACAACACCATCATAGCTAAAAGAGATGGTAAAACGGTGAAAAGAAACGTTTCACACTTTAAGAAGGTAGTAATGGAGGAAAGCGAGGCGGAGCAGGAAGATACAGCACCGGGAAGATCGACGGAAACAGAAGAACCACCAAAGCAAGAACCAAGTGTAAGGAGATCAACAAGAATGAAAAGACCGATAATACGATATCAGTACCAGACTTGATGTCATAAACAGTAAAACGATATAAACGTTTAAATTAGAGAAACATCAGACAGCATTGATTTGCATAAGTATGAACACAAGGCAAGGACATTTTATTAAGTGGTTGACATTCAGTTAAAAAAATAGAGGGAGAGTAATGTAGTATTTGTAGGATGCGATAAGTTAATAATTAACATCGAAGCATGTAACAACATTGATTGACATTTGTAATAAATCATCATTCAGTCTATTCTATAGATTTGTCAAATGAATAATATTGAGGATTTAATCAACTTGTCCAAAATTAACGATCTATGTGATATTGAAACCGATGTCTTGGGCGATGCATCCATATCCGATGATATGCTGCTAAGTCCAAATACTTCTACTATAAAGGAACTCGAGGCCTTTATTGACAATCTTTCTATAGCGCCTCTAAACTGAAAAAAGAACACTCTCGGGAGGCTAATTCAAGCCAAATCTCCATTTTGTTACAGAACAGTATGGTTAGTCGCGAACAAGCTCTTCCGGTTTTTATGCAGGCTGAAATAAACAATGAAATTCCTCAAAGCGTGTCCCCACCAGGAAATGATAATGCTACATCAGATTTGGAAAACAATAAATTAGAAACACAAAGCATCGATCAATTCAAGCCAACAACAATAACCGCAGCAACAGCGACAGCGACAACGACAACGACAACGACAACGACAACGACAACAACAACAAAAGCCATACATAAAAAAAGTGAGAAGAACAGAGCAGGGCAGAATAGAGCAATGCGGAATAAAGGGAAGTTTGGTAATAAAGTAAATAACGATAACGATAATTCAAGCACGCATCATTAAAACCAAAACAAAAAGGGGAAATAAATATTAACAAAAACTACTTCTAACAACCATCGCGAAATTTCGGAAATTGCATCAGTTAGTAAAGACAGATTCAAAGATAATCAAACGCAACTGGTCGTGACTGATACTAATGTTTCTTCGAACACTTTGTCTAATGTTAAGAAAATCAAAGCCCATATAAAATTCGATCAAAAATAGTATCGCTACCACCAAACTGGTTGGGAAATCTACCATTAATTGATCTACCTTCGCCAATCAATCGAACTGCCGAGGGATCTCACAGTCATGTAGAAGAACGCCCGAATTATTTTTCCCGTTACGGCCGGAAACGCCGCCCACCGGTCTGGCAAGTCTATTTAAATTTCGTGTCACGACATACACAGAATGTACCGGAAACGTAACACACGTGCTACACCATAACTATCGAGTAAATACGGAACCAAAGCATATTCCTGTTATATCCACCACCTCTGTTGACACTAAGATAACTCAAAAACATAGATCGAGAAACCTGAATAATCTTATTGAAATCCCCTTAGAAACCCCAGCCAGAACCGCAAATATTGGGTCAAAATTTGCATATCTTCCTGCCTTTTTACTTTCAAATGTGATGTCGCTGGCCCCGAAAATTGACGAAGAGCGTGACGTCATATACCGAGGAAATTACGACTTTGTTAGTTTAGTCGAGACTTGGCTGCAGGGCCACATTCACGACAACGTTGTCGACATACAGGGATATAACCTTATTCGCAGAGACAGGTGCGAACGTCAACATGGCGGGGTCTAATAATAATAATAATAATTTATTTAAAACTGATTTTGTAACCAATAGGTTAAATTACATCAGAAATTTACAAAATTTGTATCTACTGTTAAAAAGTATTAAGTTATCGTTATATTACATTATTAAGAATATTAAGAGTTCAAAAGTAGCAAAAAACAATAGGCCTATACTTCTACTAAGTTATTTACTGTTTTCTTTGGAAATAATTTGAGGAAAAAACGATTTCCTAAAACGTTCAGTTCTACATAGGTAACATCACAAAATTAGTAATATTCCAAAGTTTCGTTGCGAAATGTTGTAAAATGCGGATAATATAGCCTTGCAAAGTTTGCCGTTTTTCAGTCATTTTGTATTACAATCTAACATTTTGCATCAGATGATCAAACTGATGCAAAATATTAGATTGTAATACAAAATGACTGAAGAACGGCAAACTTCGCAAGGCTATATTTATCCGCATTTTACAAGATTTCACAACGAAACTTTGGAATATTACTAATTTTGTCATGCTCTTTCAAGCTGTGATGAAATTTTTGTCCAGAATTGTCTAGATCAAAATTTCACTTAAAAGGGGAAAGGTCTATTGTTATACTTGCATCTTGGTCGCATATCGTAGTCTGCTGTTGCTTTATGATGCAATAGTTCGCTTAGTTTATCGTTATTCTCATTCTTTTTAAAAAATTGTTCACATAATGTTTCACTCCTTGCTTTTAGTAAAGGGATACCAGTAAAATTCCGGGCTTCTCTGTAACTCATTAATGGCAACGAGATTCGCAAAGCACGCCGTTGAATCTTTTCAATGTCTTCGCTCAAATACTCTTGGATGTTGAAATGCCAGACTTGGCAGGCGTATTCAAGGACAGGCCTAATAATAGTGGTGTACACAGTGATTAACGTGTTCGTATCCGCGTTTGATCGTTTCAGCACTCTCAGCATGTAGAGTCTTTTTCCTGCTTTTTTGACAGCATTGTTTATGTGTTCGTTCCAATTCATATTATCCTGAACAATTAGTCCCAGAACCCGAGCTGATGATACACGGTCTACAGCAACGCCATTTATAATTAAAGGTGGGAATTCCTGTTTATCTTTTGCAAAGTCTATTATCAATTCTTTGCATTTACTGATGTTCAGTTTCATATTATTAACGATGGTCCAATTGTAAATAGTATCCACAAGTACTTGGAGAATGCTGTTGGTGTCCGGTGTAATACTTTCAGTGATAGTACTATCGTCGACGTATTTCCATCTGTTATTCCAGTCTGTGAGAAGGTCGTTTATCATAACGAGAAAAAGTATTTGCCCAAGAACTGTTCCTTGTGGCACACCTCCGTTTAAGGTTTGCCAATTTGATACACAGTTAGCTATCTTGACGCGTTGTTTGCGTTCGAAAAGGAAACTTCTAATCCAGTTTGTAATTGTCGCTGGTACCTTCATTTCATATAACTTGTACAGTAGGATATTGTGGTCTATAAGACCGAAAGCTTTCGAAAAATCGAGCAAAAAAACCCTTACAGCGGTTTTGGATGTATCAGTTTCATATAACAGGTGATGAACGAAGCTTAGTAGTGCATGAGTTGTCGAAGAGTTTTTTAAGGAACCAAATTGTCGTCTTTCAATATTTTCCTTTATATACTCAAGTAGCCAATCGGTAACAAACTGTTCACATGTTTTAGACGGGGTATGTGTAAGCGAAATGGGGCGAAGATCTTTGGTGATGTCCTCAGGCGAAGCTATTTTTGGAATTGGGATGACATTGGCTTTTTCCACATGGTCGGAACAGTCGCTTGTTGGATGGAAGCATTAAAAATTGATGCAACAGGGGAAGCAAGTACATAAGTGTAGAACTTCAGAACCCAGTTTGGTATTCCATCTGGACCAGGAGATTTAGCAGTTGATATAATGGATAATTTATGGTATACCTCTTCTTCTTTAATGATAAACTCTGGTGAAATGTCATAATGGCTGTTTTCTGGTAAAATGTCGATATGAAAACGATTTAAAGGAGGGATTTTTTTGGTAACTGAAACAAAAGCGTCATTAATATTCTCGGCCAGGGCTTTTCCTGACATCTGGGTCTGCATATATATTAAAGATACCGTATAATTTTCAGTGTTGGATGAATTATTTGACAGCTTATTCGAAGTATTATGGATTAACATGCGTCCAACCCGACTGCCGAGGGGATTTACTAATTTGATTGTTGGAACAGTGTATCACCCACCAAGTGCGGAAAATGCAGCTATGCTGAATTATCTATCAAACTGCTTATCAGTAATGGAATCGCGTTTCCCTAATTGTGGCTTTATTATCCTTGGTGATTTTAATAAACTTAATACCTCACGTCTAAGAACTGGCTATGATTTAAAACAGCTTGTCAATTTTCCAACCCGCGGAAACAATACCCTTGACATTGTTTTAACAAATCTTAACGCATCCTTTGATCAACCTACTAAGTGTGCCCCCTTTGGGTTACCAGACCATATGTCTATTGAGGTGAGACCAGTCGAGCGTCGTAATATCCAAGAAAAGTCAAAACTTACGGTAAAAACGAGGGACTTGCGGCCTAGTTCCCGTCTTGCAATGCGTAAATATCTTGAGCGTGTAGATATCCCAGAAATGCTTAGCAGAGTTGATTCTTGTGATGAAAAAGCCTCGCTTCTTGAAACTATTGCTAAAACTGGCTTAGATTATGTCCTCCCATTACGAAGGAAAAAGATTAAACCTAACGATCCCCCCTGAATGAACTCGACACTAAAGAGCCTTATTATAAATCGTCAATAAGCTCTCAACCAGGGAAATATCGAGGAGTTCAAACGTTTGAGGAACCAAGTCAATCGCCAGAGGAAAATCTGCCGAGCTAAATATTACAAAACCACTGTTCAACATTTGAAACAATGTAAGTCTAATGCTTGGTGGAACGAGGTAAAAAAACTCAGCGGTACGAAAGTAGTTGAGGAAAACTCTCATAAGATTGTGAAAGCTTTAAGACCCAATGATAGTTCTTCCTGTGCAG